TCTCTTTTTCTCTCTCTCTCGCTCTTCTTTTGATACCTGTGATTTAGTGGCGGACCATTTTTACCATCTAGGTTTGGTCGGTCCTTCATTTCTTTCGATTAGTTTTAGTTCGCCAGCTGCTTCCTGGCGAAGACGTTCAGATTTTTAACTGTGATATTGTCGCTGTTTCATCTTTATATGTGCGAGTGTACCTATTCGATATGATTATTTGCATATCAGGATTTTTGGTGGGAGGGTGAGTTATTCACGATATGTATTGTATATTTAATTATTTGGCCACGGTTTGATAGGACGTCTCAATAGAGAAGTATCATTAAATAATCAGTAATCAACATATAAGAATTAACATACATTTTCTGTACAGAAAATATGAATATGATTGTAACGGAAAGCAATTCTACTAATCACGTTTTTTTTGTTTTTCTTTTCTTAAGGATAATTCTCTCGGGGATTTGAAAGAATGTTAATTGATTTTTTTTCTCATTATGTAGATACATACTGATTTCTATTGATGATGGAATATAATATATACCCTCGCCAATTTTTAAATTTCTTACAAGAAGTACATTACATGGTCAACTGTACTAATCCTGGGTCGTTATCAGTATTTTCAATGGATTCAAAATAAAATTTAAGGTAGTTATTTACTATAGCGTCACCCTATAAAAAATTTAATCATTTGAAGGATAAAAAAAGAAACAATTGTATACCTATTTATATAATTATGGAATAAATAAATAATTTGTATTTTTATAGGGACTTTCCATAGGTTTTTTTTTTGAGATACATGGCTTCAAAGATGATTTTACAAATTTCTATTCTATTCAATCGTAGCTTCTTCAGATGAAAATACACCGATCTAGATTAATTTGCAGTACAATACCGTACCATTTTGCTTCCTCAAAAAGAATAAAATACATTTTTTTTAAAGGTCTGTAATGTTTTTAAGGAATTAAGACTGTACCAAGGTAACTTATTGATCTAAATCAGTTTATTTTCATTCACGCAAACTACCCGTGACTATTGTCATAAAAGGTAATGCGAACAGATAGTAGCTATCGACCTTTAGCAGATGGTCAAAAACTAAAAACACTGATATTATTACTTATTTGTACCAGATTTCGTTAAAATATAATCTATGACACGCTGTATTTCAGAAACAAAATACAGCAGGGCCAGATTCCATAAAAAATGTTATTTTTTGATGTTCCACCAATTCCTAAATTTATGTTACTGTCATTGTGTTATTTGACAGTTGTTGTATTTGAAAGTTGAATTAACCTTTAATTCTACGCAAGACATCCCGATAAGCCACTTCCAAATCCGGAGTTTTTAAAAAATAACATAGTAAAACTAAAAACAACTGGAAGTGTGTGTCCAAGGATCTACAATCATCTTTACTTAATTAAAACGTTTATTTTATACACATTCAAATACAACAGCTGTCAAATACCACAATGACAGCACAATAATGATGGCTCCTTTGAAACAACGCAATTTTTGTTTAATAACCAAGGCCTACTATTGCTATGTTAGCTTCTTTTAGTTTCTGCCGACTGCAGATTATTTTCATTGTTTTTGTTGATTGATCTAAAAGCTACTCCAATAAAGAAATGTGACATAACATTTTTTATTTAGAATTTCAAGGTTTTTCAAATTTGAAAAACATAATTATGTTAAAAAAATACGGCGTAATTTAAAAAAATATCGTTTTAGTAGCTACTGCATAAATCTGGGAACACCGGAAAGAATTATTTGTAAATTTTTCTTAATCGAGTTATTTCCTACAACTTTGCATGTGGAAGACTAGTCTGTCACTTCAAATAGAAAAGTTGACCTGTCAGGTTTTAAAAAAATAGCACTATATATACAGGGTGTTGCATCACGAGAGGGACATGGCTCAATGGGAGATAGAGGACATCTAGGGTAACTAGGATCGCCTATAGAAATAACTTCTTGGCCATTCTTTATTGAGATACAGGGTGATTTATAATTTTTGGTCAAAACTGCTTTATGTCATAACTTTGGTAGGGAATGGAATAATGGGTTCATATTTGGTAGGACTAATGCACACACGATACTTCATGTATTCATGTATGACAGCAAAAAAAATCCAGATCCGGACTGCAAAAATTGTTAATTTTTTGTGCAAGTCTAGAAAACAACACTCTGTATATATTTTTTGAAATTCCGATACGATATTCGGAAAGTACATAAAAAAGTGATCTTAAAGTCGTGTTTTTTTTTGGTTACACTGGTGGTTATTTAAATAAGCTCTTGAATATACGAGACTACGGCTTCTAAAACTAAATTACGTAAAGGACACATGATAAAAATGGTTTTGCAACTAAAATTAACAAAGGCTTAATTGAGGGTAGATGTTATAAATAAGCATGCATATTTTAAACCTCATTTTCTTTAAATAATGTGTATTCCAGGTCCGGTCTGCAAAATTTTTAATTTTTTTTGTAACTCTAGAAAACATCGCCCTGTATGTATTTTTTTGGTATTTCCATACGATTATCGAAAAGAACATAAAAAAGTAATCTCAGCGACATGTCTCTTTTTCTTGTTACACTTTGATGATTATTTAAAAAAACATGATAAAAACACATGACAAAAAATAAATTATAATCCGTCGATTTCGATTGCCATCGATACGTCGTGCAATTAGAAACTTGGGTAAACGAGTATGAAAATGTATCGAAGTTGAGGAGGCCACTTTGAAAATTTGCTATAAAATTAATTTGCCATTGTAAAGTACATTTAGACACCTATTATTTTCTTTGTGTTTTATTGTTATTTGTTTTCCGTGTTTTATTAAATAGTCATTGTTCCCATTTGCTTTTTTTTATTTCTATTTTTTAGAAATCCTGTTTACTAAAAGAAATAAACTACTATTTTGATCATGTATCTTTTACTTACTCATGTAATGTATTTCTTACTTACTCGTAATTTCATTTTAAAAGCCTTGTTACCGTACATTGAATAGCGTAGTAATCATCAAATTGTAACAAGAAAAAGAGACATGTCGCTGAGATTACTTTTTTATGTTCTTTTCGATAATCGTATGGGAATACCAAATAAATACATGTTGGGCGATGTTTTCTAGAGTTACAAAAAAAATGAAAAATTTTGCAGTCCGGACCTGGAATACATATTATTTAAAGAAAATGAGGTTTAAAATATGCATGCTTATTTACAAAATCTACCCTCAAATTAATCCTTCGCTAATTTTAGTTGCAAAACCATTTTTATCATGTGTCCTTTACGTAATTTAGTTTTAGAAGCCACAGTCTCGTATATTCAATAGCTTATTTAAATAACCACCAAAGTGTAACAAAAAAAAGAAAGACGTCTTTAAGATCACTTTTTTATGCTCTTTCCGAATATCGTATCGTAATTTAAATAAAATACATACAGAGTGTTGTTTTCTAGACTTGCACAAAAAATTAACAATTTTTGCAGTCCGGACCTAGATTTTTTTTGCTGTCATACATGCATACATGAAGTATCGTGAGTGCATTAACCCTACCAAATATGAACCCATTATTCCATTCCCTACCAAAGTTATGACATAAAACAGTTTTGACCAAAAATCATAAATCACCCTGTATCTCAATAAAGAATGGCCAAGAAGTTATTTCTATAGGCGATCCTAGTTACACTAGATGTCCTCTATCTTCCATTAAGCCATGTCCCTCTCGTGATGCAACACCCTGTATATATATATATATATTTCATTTGAATGTTTTTCATTACCAAAAAACACTGAAGATAGACAAAATGAAATAAACTAAAAGTGATATATTATTAAGAGCAACTGGTACTTGAAAATTGTTCTGCATGTGAAATCGATATCCACCTTGTTTACTCCCTAACAGCATGCAGATATTAAATAAAAGTTAGTTTAATAGATTAACATCAATTGGAATCTAACTATGACCAAGGTTGTAAGTGCAAATTACGTTGCCTTTTTTTTTCAGTTCTAATTAAATAGTAATTGTTCCAGGGTTGAATATAGCATGTTTCCAAGTAAGCGTATGTACTTACCTTTTCTTTATTTATGTGAATGGACTGTTTTTATAGATATCTTTATTTGTGTGTAGAATTTATCTAAAAAAGTTCGTGGCTATAGATAGATTTCATAAATGGCTGTATGAACAGAATAGTTAGGTAGGTAAAGTATATACAAGTACTTTGTCTTCACTGTCTTAACACATATATGTTAATTGGATTATTATAATTAGCGGTAGAACATTATAATATATACTGCATACTAAAAAGATGCTTGAGTGTTCAAAAATGGTTTGTTAATGCTTTTATAGTAATAATTATTTTATAATTTTTCATTTTAAAAAATATGCTGATATTTTAACACACTTATAATTATTATTGTGAAAGTATGAATAATTTAGAGTTGGTAATTGATAGTAAACATGTTTCCTGTTCTACAAGTTTGAACCAAAAGAAAACAAAAGAAACCTTCTACTCTGAAACTAGATCGTTATTTTCTTAAAATAATTTACACAAGCAATTTCTCCAATTTTGTAATGTAATGGAAAAATCAAGAGACAAAAATTTCAGAAAAGGCAAGAAAAATTTCTTAACAAATTTCAAATGATTCAATACAATAAGACCGATGTAATCAGTTTTAACAATATCGATTTAACAAGTCGATTTTATTCATTGTGAAAAGTACATATTGTGAACATTTTTAAAAATTGTTTACTGTATGTGTTTTAGTGAAAACTATTAAATATAATAAAGCATATATAATATACACTTAAATTTTATAAAAGTGCATGTGTCTATAAATTGCAAAATCCTTTTGTTTTGAATTATTAATATTTAATACTAATTTGTTGCAACAGTAATATGTATAAAGGTTTATTAACTGTGACATAAATGTGCTTAATCAGCATACTAAAGTTACGTGGTGTTGCTGGAACATGCAAAATTAAAATGTGCTGGTTTTTATCGAAAGTGTTTTGTTTCAGTTTTCCGCCAAAAATGGAACGGTCCCAGATAGTAAATTCACTGGGCTCCTCGGATCACATCCAAGAACAAACTTATATACAAGCACCCAGTTTTATACAATCACAAAACTTTGGGAATCCAGCACCCAGTCCAATTTATTGCAGAGCATCCCCCAACACTTCTGGATACGTATCCGTACCTCAACCTCTTCATAAAAAAGGCTCACTTAGGAATGGTGACGTCCTCAAGCGTTCCAGAGTTCAAACGACGTAAGTAAACTTGAGCTTGAAAATTTACTGTACACCTTTCTAAATACTATTTTGTACTATTTTGTAGAATTAAACGTATTATAGTTAAACTACTGAAAATATATTTTTTCTAGTCTCCATTTAACTTAAATATGTGGCCCAATTAAAAATCCATGTCGTGGTCCTTTCAGATACGAATTATCGCAAGATATTCTGGATAAACAAATAGAAGTCTTGGAACGCAAGTATGGAGGTGTTAAAGCCCGCAACGCAGCTCTCACTATCCAAAGAGCCTTTAGAAGATATACCCTTCTTAAAAAATTTGCCGCTATCACAGCTATGGCCAAAGCCGAAAAAAGAATAAGTCGGCGACTACCTGCAGCTTCTGAAGAGTGTAAACCCAACATGGAATCAGAACAACACGGTGGAGATTACGTCCGCAGTTTCGAAGGGCACGACTGTAGCTCCTTACGTGTTCTTCCAGTTAGATCTATGTCACTACGAGAACGAAGGAACATTGATAACATGCCGATTCCTCGCAGCCAATCTGGAACACCTACAGTTTGTTGGGAAAATTACTCTTCGTCTTCTTCTCTGCAGCATTACTATTCGGCAGCTGATAATAAATCAGATTCCATGTGTACTCAAGTAACTGCCAGTGGCACTTCCTGTAGCACCCCAACTACATCCTCAAACGGATATATGAGAGCCAGAAATAGTATGAGTTCGAGAAAAGTACCACCAGAAGTACCTAAAAGAACCTCGAGTATTTCGTCAAGATCAATCGAGCCAAGGCATCAAAAATCCAACGGCCTCATAAAGACAACAGAAAACGGTTCTTTGTCAAGTGTCCAAAGCTCAGGTAGCGATAGCAGTATTTCTACAGAACGCATACAGTGTGAATATTCTAGTTCTCCAGTTTGGAAACGTAAAGGTAACCACCTTTCTGAGTATGCAGAACCAGCATTAGAGACCAGCCTGGGAAATATTTCGAATGCCAGTTCGTCTACGTACACTCTAGTAGAGCGCGCTGCAGACCAACAAGCACCTACTAGCTACAAGATTTCCGAGACTATAAGAAAACGTCAGTACCGTGTAGGTTTAAACTTATTTAACAAAAAGCCAGAGAGAGGTATAGCATATCTGATCCGGAGAGGATTTTTAGAGAATTCACCACAAGGGGTAGCTAGATTCTTAATATCACGTAAAGGACTGAGTAAACAAATGATAGGAGAATATTTAGGTAATTTGCAAAGCCCATTCTGTATGGCTGTATTGGAATGTTTTGCGGGAGAATTGGATTTGTCTGGTATGCAAGTAGATGTAGCCCTAAGAAAATTCCAACAGCATTTCCGTATGCCGGGGGAAGCACAGAAAATTGAAAGGTTAATGGAAGTGTTCTCGCAGAGATATTGTCAATGCAATGTAGATATTGTGGCTAGACTGAGATCACCAGATACGGTAAGAAAGTTGTTTAAATGGTGTATTTAGAAAAAAATGCTGTTATTGCTTTTCCATTTTCAGATTTTTGTCTTAGCATTTGCTATAATAATGCTGAATACTGACTTGCACACGCCAAATATAAAACCGGAACGCCGGATGAAGGTAGAAGACTTCATAAAAAATCTAAGGGGAATTGATGATTGTGGTGATATCGACAGTGATATGTTATTGGGAATTTACGAAAGAGTTAAAGCGAATGAATTTAAACCCGGTTCTGATCATGTTACACAAGTAATGAAAGTACAAGCCACAATAGTCGGCAAGAAACCGAATATGGCTTTACCACATAGACGATTAGTGTGTTATTGTCGTCTGTACGAAATTCCCGATATATATAAAAAGGAAAGACCAGGTGTTCACCAAAGAGAAGTCTTTCTCTTCAATGACCTACTCGTAATCACGAAAATTCTAAGCAAAAAAAAGTCTTCAGTTACTTATACTTTCAGAAATAGTTATCCTTTATGTGGAATGGTAGTCACACTTTTTGAAGTTCCACGTAAGTCTTTTTTTTTTTAATATTTTTATAACAAGTGATTCCATTGCAATTTTTTTTATTGTAGATTATCCATATGGTATAAGATTAAGTCAACGTGTAGATCAAAAAGTTTTGGTTACATTTAATGCTAGAAATGAACACGACAGATGTAAATTTGCCGAAGATCTTAAAGAAGCTGTTAGTGAAATGGATGAAATGGAGAATTTGAGAATTGAGGCTGAACTAGAGAGACAAAAATCCAATAGAGGGGGCAATAGAACTGGTGAGTGCACAGCTAAAGTATTAATCATTTTAGTAGTTTTCAGTTATCAAAATGCAATTACAGTCATGTTACAATTCATCAAAATTCTTTCTAAATAAAATTTTTACATTTTGTAATGTTGTAATAGTAGCAGTAGCAGAGTAGTAGCAGTATATACATTTATTATTTTTATTCGTTATTTTGTTTAAAAGTATACTTAGTGCATTTTTTGTTAAATCCTTAAAAAGGATGGGAGTTTTGCTGAGAGCTTAACATTTTATAGTTAATGAGAAATATATAAATATTCATTTAAAATTGTAAATTGCAAAAGAAAAATGACTCCTCAATCTTTTTGCAGAAAAATCTGATGATGAATCATATTTGCAGGTACTGAAAATAGGGATAGCGGAGTAGCTGACGTTGAGGTTTGTCCTTGCCAGTGTCCCTGCTCGCAAAATCCAGCGATGGGTGCCAATGAAATATGTGCAGAAGAAATGTCCCATGATACTCAAATAAAACGCTCAGCTCTCAGCAATTCTCTACTTGATATACATGAGCAATGTAAGTTTTAATATTTCACGGCAATGATGGTCACTGTATTTTCACGTCAGTGTAGTTGCAGGAGAGAAAGCCCAAAGACGGGGTAGTGTGGGCTCATTGGATAGTGGTATGTCTGTGTCATTCCAGTCAACGTCAGCTAGTACTTGTTCACGTTCGGACAAGTTAGTTGGCAAGCAAGTAGTCAAGCCGGGAATACACAATCATCAGGGGTTTCTGGGAGGACTTTTCAACAAAAAGCAAACAAGCAATACAACAGTTAAATCAACAGAAGTGTAAATAAATTAAAGATTACAGGGTAGATCCTATATGCACTCAATCGTTTCGATATTAACTCGTATACTGTAACTAATATATAAGTGCAGTGCATTGTTGATTATGTCCTATTCTTATACAGCGAAGTCGATAAAGGGTAATTTCATACAATATTACGACTCTTGTAATATGATCTTTTTTTTTTTATCGAGTTTAATGTTACCAGTTGACAAAACCGATTTTTTTCCAGAAATAATTATTGTCATAGAAATATATTTAAATATGATACTTGAGGATTTTGGGGAAATTCAACCCAGATTTCTGACAGCCATTGATGTGTTTACGCACTGCATCAACGTTAACCATAAAATGTTGGAAAGCTGTGCAGGTTGGTTAAAAGAGAACTAAAAATGTTAAAAGTGTACTCCTTTATCATCACTGCTTCAGGAAGAATTAATTACCCAACAAAAAAATAAATGTTTCACTAAAAGCGCTTTCAAAGTTGCTTCTCCAGCTCTTTTAAAGCCTTTTGCAAATATTTGCCTAGTTGTTTATAGAAAATTAGGCAAAATTTCCCTATGATTGGGTGCATTTTAAAAGTGGTTTACTCTGTCTCCAGAGATCTATATAATCTATTGTTTTTAAAAACATTAACTCGTGCATGTCAGAAGTAACCAAATATATTTTCACCATTTGTAAGTGTTACCAAATATATTAACTATGGCTGTCTTTAATTTTCGCCCCAGTGCGTACACTTAATAATGTTATTAGTATTTTTTGTTGTATCATTTCTCCGTACTAAGACATAATTTAATGTTCTCCATAATTGAAAAATTCCATGTTTTCATACCGTAATCTTTTAATTATTGTTTATACTGCATTATTTGTTGTAAATAAGTTAATTTATAAAAATATTTTTTAATAAATAATGTAGACTATGTTCGAGCACGCAACTGGTGATGTTAATAATTATTTTAATGCACAATTTCATAATTGAGAACATTAAAGTTGTCTTTGGGTCTAGCTCTCTTTCAACAAAGAAAATGGTTTTGAGATTTACACTTGTAAATAAAACTGGTTCATAAATCTGTAAGAGAGCAAAAATGTTCTAGTCGAGTGTAAATAAGTTAGGAATCTCATACTACTGATATTAAATTAATTTAATCTATTGTATTAAGTGTTTTTTTAATAACATAATAAACAGTCTTAACGTCGGTTTTATTTATTCTTTTTGCCTTGTCTTTCCTATCCAAATTTTCACCTAATATTTGACCAAAAATTAAAGGTCTCTCGCTAACTCGGTCATATTTGCCTTTTAAAGGAATACAAAAAACAAAATTTTAAATACGTAGTTATAAAATATATTTTAACAAGTTACAAAAAATAAATCAAATGGCCTTTGAATGAAAACCGTTTTTACGGCTATACACTAGCCACGGCTTTTTTGGCAGCATCTTCTAAATCTACAGCTGTCCGTATATTCAGTCCTGATTCCTTAATAATTCTTCTGGCTTCATCAGCATTAGTACCTTCTAACCTTACTACGAGTGGAACTTTTAGAGACATAGTTTTTAATGCTCCCACGATTCCATTAGCGATTGTAACACAATTCACGATTCCACCAAATACATTTACCAAAATAGCTTTTACTTTCTCATCAGAGGTAATAATCCTGAAAGCAGCACGAACTTGATCTTCTTTTACACCGCCTCCTACATCTAGGAAGTTTGCTGGATCTCCTCCATGCAATTTTATAATGTCCATTGTTGCCATCGCTAATCCAGCGCCATTTACTAAGCACCTGTAAATAATCAAAATATAATTAATCCAATACACTATTGACCCTTCATACCCAATGTTTCCAGTCATTCCGATGTAGTTAAGATTGTATTTCGAGGCCTCAACCTCTCTCGGATCGTTCTCACTTGTGTCTTCTGCACTAAATATTTCCTTTTGTCGAAACTGAGCATTGTCATCAAAATTTAATTTGGCATCTACAGATATTACTTGGTTATCATCCGTTTCTACTAACGGATTAATTTCTAATTGGGTAGCATCGACAGAAAGGAATAGTTTCCACAGTTTTTTAATCTCATTACTAGCTTTTTGCTTCAAAAGTCCTTTAAATTCAAGGAACTCTGCTAGTTCATCTGCCATTTGATCTGTTACACCTTTGAATATATCAACAGGTACATTTTTTATTAAATGTGGTGTTTTTTCTGCTACTGCTTCAATATCAACTCCTCCCGAAGGGGATGCAATGATTACTGGGCCATTTCTTTGTCTATCCATTAAAATACAAAAGTAAGTCTCTCTTTTAATGTTTACGCTCTGGGCTATCATAATTTTATTTACTAATATTCCATCTCTAGGTGTCTGTTTTGTTATCAGTTTATGACCTAACATTTGACTTACAATAGCCTTGATATTATCTCGTCTGGAAATATTAAGCTATTATTTAATGTTGTATTTGTATTAAACTAATGAATATTTTATAGTCAGCATTATATTCTTACGTTCTAGTGAGATTCTTACTTTTTAGTAACGTGCACACCTCCTTTAAAGCCATTATCAAAGTGACCTTTGCCTCTTCCCCCCGCAAGAATTTGTGCTTTGATAACGTATTCATTTACATCTATAAAAAAAATACAGTGGAGATCAACTTAATGCTAAACTATTATCCTGTATACATACTAAATTTTTCGAAATCTTTAAATCCATTTTCATCTACCATACAAAAATCTTGAATAGCAACTCCATTTTTCCGCAGAAGATTTTTGCTCTGATATTCTAAGAGATTCAAATATCGCACAGGTACCTAAAAATAAAAACATATTAAAACTAAGCTGTAGGTACTAGTTTTTAAAATGAATACGCACTGTAAAAATTTTGCCTTTTCTAGCAATTTTTGTAACAATGTTCCATAAAGACATGATGTGAAGTATTAAAACACAATATTGATATTAAAACATTTATTTATTTATCAAAGTCCACTCTCAAAAGTCTCAAATATTGTGAAAAATAATGACAGTTGGAGTGAGTTCCGTTTTGCACTACTCACCCAGGCTGCGTTCAGCGAACATTGGGTAGGTTTGTCAAGAATCTGTGTTCTGTGATCACCAGTTGCATCATTTTGACTAATTTGAGTAATTTCGTAATTTGTAAACTCTCATTATAGCAATCGGCAATCGCTTTACATTAACAAAGTAATATAAAGGCCGTCACTATTATTATATTTTATTTTCTGTGATCTGTAACAAATTGATAATAAAATATGATTTGCAACTAATTTATGAACAGTAAAATCAAATCATAGTATTTACATTTTACATTTAGGTCTAGGACATTTTAGGAACTGTGTCATGTTTATTGTACAAAACATTAAAAACAAAGAGAACAGAATGAAATTTATACAACACATATTAGCTTGCATATTTTGTTCGTGTTTAATACACGTCAGTTCACTTTTTATTTGAATAAAAGCGTCTATTTATTCATTACGAACTTGTAAAATTATGGATGAAATCTGGCAACATTGCCATGGCGTGGTGGTAAAAGTTGGGTCAACTGTCATTACTGTCAACTTTGCGCGAATTCCGTAAACATGAATGAACAACCAAGGTACAAAAGAAAAGAAATGACTGAAAAGTATAAAATGAGTGTAAAACAGAATGTGGATTGAAAAGAAAAAAATAAAATGTGCAAACCGAGAATCCATATGATAACTATGAAGTTCAATGTGTGATAGTGAGACGTCGACTTGTCAAATTGAAGATTATGACATAACAACTAAACTGTTCGTTTTGCAAAGAGATCCTTTCAATTTTTGTTTTTGCTAGTATATTGCTTTAGATCACGAAAAATTTATTTAATATTAATTATTACTACATATATTTTCGACTGGAATAATTTTATAATCTATAATTGAGCTATTCAAATATAACGCATCAGTCCAAGCATTAAATACAGCGTACAGTGTTGCCATATTTCCTTTCATTGGATCAGATGTTTGTTCAAATTTGTCAAAACGTTGTATATTCATTCCATTATCTCAATAATTACATTGTAAGTGCATATTTTTATTGTTTTAAAATGTTTAGTAATATTTAATTCTTTAATTACAATTTTATTTTCCCGATCCTAACCATTTTTAAGAGCAATATTCACGTTTGATTAAAGTTTTTTCCCAACTCCCATAAGAGCCTGTGTAAAAGAGCATCATTTTTAAATTCATTTTTCAAAAAAACTACGTTGTCAATCGATCTGATATTTTTACACAAGTCAGTTTGCATATTTATTAACAGATTTCAATTGCTTTGAAAACATTCTTACCATTTTTCTTTTGGTATCGAACCTCCTTAAACGAATAAGCCTCAAGCGGGTAATTTAAAAAATTATATTTGAAATGTTATGTAGACTGATAATTAATGGTATTTACGTTTGTATAAATTAAATTAATAATTCATGGAAACTCAGAAACATATTTTTTATACAGTTATACTTATGAATTTAGTTACGATTGCGATAAATAAGGTTAACCTGCATAACCTACAATTTTCATTGAATTGCAAGTGTAGGATATATATGTAGGTACTAGGTACCTATATTTAAAACGAAAAAAAAAAAAACTACACAAAAACTATTCAATATGTCTAAGAGATTATTAAGTGATTATGAAAGTTTCAGAAAAGTGCTATCTGAATCCAAGAATATTGTGGCTCTAACAGGTGCGGGAGTATCTGCTGAATCGGGAATCCCTGTTTTTAGAGGGAAAGGAGGATTGTGGAGAACTCATAGATCAGTAGATTTAGCAACTCCACATGCTTTCCATGCCAATCCGTCATTAGTGTGGGAATTTTATCAGTACCGAAGGAACATTGCATTTAATGCACAACCAAATGATGTAAGTGTGAAAATTTTATTATCGTGCACGAGTATTATAATTTATATTTATAGGCTCACAAAGCCTTAGCCAAATATGAGAAAATTTGTAGAGAAGAGGGTCGTATATTTAGTATAATTACTCAAAATGTTGACGGACTACATCAAAGGGCTGGTTCAGAAGAAGTTATAGAATTACATGGAGCTTTACATAAAGTAATTTGCACAAAATGTAAATTAGTCGACGAAAATTTTGATGATCCTATCTGTGAAGCTTTGCGTAATAGAGGGTAACAGGTTTTTTTTTCCTTGTAAGCAGATATCTATATAATTTTTTATCAGAGGTCCTACAATGTCAGATCAAGATCTTCCTACGATAGATAAGAAGGATCTTCCTAAATGTAAAAGGTGCCAGGAATTGTTGCGGCCGTATATTGTATGGTTTGGAGAGAATTTGGATCCTAAAGTATTACTTCAAACCAGTAAGGAAACAGTACTCTGGTCTAATTATTATTAAATATATTACTATATTTTCAGGAGAACTCGTAGAAAATAAATGTGATTTGTGTTTGGTGATTGGTACATCTTCTGTGGTGTATCCCGCAGCTATGTTTGCTCCAATTGTAGCAGAAAGAGGGAAAATGGTTGCGGAGTTTAATCTGAATGAAAATCCAGCAAATGATCTCTTTACATTTCATTTTCCAGGTCAATGTGGATCAACCCTACCTAAAGCTTTAAATATGTGATTGATTTTATTTTAATGCACAAATAAATTAACCGGTCTGGTGGATTAAATACATTAAAATTATATTATCATTGGCTTTATAATATTGTATAATAAAAATAAATATCTTTTCAATGCATGTATCTTTTATTAATAAATTAATGGGTAAGATATTGTAAATAAATATATATTTTTTTTACATTCAGTATATACAGGATGTTTTAACAAATATGGAATGTAGAAATCTGTACAGTTCGTACAATATTTGTCGAGATTGAATTTCTAGAAAAGAATTAAGTCAATAAAGTTCTGCGTTATTTTCAAAATATTAAATTATATATATATTAAGTAGATTTTATTGGATTAGAATGTGTTTTTATTTCTTTTAGAGTACAGTATCATCAATAAATGAGAAGATAATACAATTATAAACAAGATTGTGACGCAGGGGTCTTCTTGGAATTCTATGTCAATCGATATCGTACAGACTGTACCTTCTATAGATTTCATAAATTAACCCATATTTATTAAATTACCCTTGGCATTACACTGGACATTACATTAAATAAGGTATCACATACAATGTAGTTCGTGTGATAAATTAACAATAACTAACCAATTAACAAATACAATTTTAGAAAAATAAGTTTTAGAGACACTGCGGGTGTATCACCAAGAAATGTTTTTTTTTTGTTTCGATTTAGATCATTTGAAGTTGTTTTTTTTTTGTAGGTACTGTATCTACATGTTACTTTTTAAATAAAACTGTATATAGTCAGTTTTTGTAAAATTTATGATGATAAAGCAATTATTTTTAAATTAACTAGTATTTAAATTGAAATATAATAATATAGTATTTCCGAGGTAAGTCCTACATTAGGTATAATGTAGATTGAACCTCATTGCTAAACCACAAAAATACTTGAAACTGTCCTATTCAAGTAGTAGTAGTAGTAAGTTGTTATCTGATCACTTTTATATTTCCTGAACACACAAAATAATCTTTTACCAACAACACTTACAATTACGTTACATAATATGTTAAAAATTAAAATGACCAAATATTTTAGTCTTCATAACTGTATAACCACTGAGGTTAGGCAACCAACATCGCACGGCTGGTACTGTCAACTAAAAATGCCTAAATCTCGGCGGCACCAATATTAATGATTCCTTTACAATGGACAATGACAAATCATTACGCATACCCTTGAGATAATGCGATCGCTGATTGGTTGAATAGAATCTCGTGAAAAATTACACCAATCTCGAGCGTGGACGTAACGGTTTGTCAAAATTTAAGAAATTTTTGTTACCAGTACCAATCGTGCATTGTTGGGTTGCCTAAGATAGGCGGTCACGTGGCTTATAAACATTTATGAAGGCTCTGTAGGTAAAGAACTGTTAAAAAAATAATAAGTAGATAAAATGTTTCAGGGCAATATTTTTTGAAATTTAATTTAAGAATATTAAATATCCCAACTAAATAAATGATGCTTAACCAGCATGTCACGTACTCCATCCTTGAGTGGTTGGTTGTTTGTTTCTTTTTTAACTGGTAATTCCCAATCTGGATTTAAGCTAAAGGATAACTGTGACAAAATTCTTAGGTCACATTTAATCTGTACCCATCCAGGACTATACACAAATGACCAGGGATGATACCTGAAAAGCGAAAATGTAAATTGTCTATAGCATTTACCGTAAAACTAACCATTTTTGGACCACTTCACTTGAAGAACAAAGTACTTCTAGCCATAAATGGAGGACCTGTTCATTGAGACCCATGCAGATCAGAGAACGAAGTTTTACATCCATCTGAGCATGTGCGTTATCATGAGATAAATTTATAGCTTGCACACAGCGGTAGAGTAACTAGAATAATAAATATGTTTCAAATGTATTATAAAAATCTATAATTTACCTCTTCTGGTGTTAAAACTTTTCCATCTTCGTCTAATCTATAAGTTTTACATAGCACAAGTCTGCTGTAAACCGAGTTGAAATCTTTCTCCACTTCCTTGGTAGCAGATTCTTCTATAAAAAGCCATGGATGGCAGGGGCCACCTACATAAAATAAAATATAGCATTAATGGTATTTGTAAGTTACTGTGATTACACACCTAAGAAATTTGGACGTTTCATTCCATGCTCTAAAACCTGTTTAATTACGGGACACAATGTGCCTCTAACCAAATCAGTAACTGTTTCTGATATACTATCATCCCCAGCACTACTGTATTGCTTACTTCTTTCATCTAACAATTGAACAAACTTAGCTGGGAACCAACCTATCAAACAGAAATCCTTCTATTGAATACATTTTAAATTATAGTGGGGCTTTTACCTCTTAAACCATTTAATTCTCCTACCCAACAATGTTCATCTTTTTGGCTAATTATAGTAATTATATCATTTTTCCTGAATCCAAGTTCATCATCATCATGTCTTTCAAAATCTACAAACAAAAGGTAGAACTACTGACAACATGCGACTTTTTAGTTTATTTACCTAACAGAGCTTTAGCTCTTCTTTTTCGAGTTTTAGAAACATTTATGTAATTAGCGTGGTCATTTGCATGGCTCTCCATAGAATAATCAGCAACCAAACTAATTTCTGAACTTAATTTTGGATCCAGCTGTAAAAAATGCCTAGCAATCTTAAAAAAAATAACGAAATTAAGTTATACTCGTAAGGTAACTGCTTTATATTATTCTTACTTGTAAAATCGCTTCTCGGAGATCAACCAAAATTTCAGTTTGTTTTATATTTTTACTCTTTATATCATCTTCAGCATTTTCATTGAAAAGTAGAAGTTGTATTACAGATTTATTTTTCTTTACTTGGCGCCTAAAATGATATATTTTTATCACAAGAACATTATTATACACAGGGTGTTCCTAAATATCATGTACATAAGGGAGGGGGTAATTCTTTGGCTTATTTCATGACTAAAAGTTCATAAAACATAGTTCCGCAAACGCTTCGTTACCGATCTACAGGGTGTTGAAATTTTAAGATTTTTTAAGTTTTTTCTTTATAGCTCCCACAGTTTTTGAGATATTTAGCTCAAATTTGGAATATTGGTTACGCTGTAGGGCTTACATCATTGGACATGCCAAATGGTCGTGATATTCTATAGAGTGATATTTTTTCGGGGTTCATACCCCCTTTTCTTCCACTGAACTTTTGTGCGGTGTGCCGCTAGTAGATTCTAAAATCAAAATTGGATTTTATGTTTTGTTGAGAACTTTTTGCCTCTTATGATTTTTTCGTATCTGCGACCGTTATCGAAAAAAAAAATAAAAAACAATTTTATGTAATTCGTTAGATGAAATTTAAATTCTTAAAATGGTCCAGTAGGCTCTGGCTTTATTTAGATAATCTCTTGTTTCTATTAATTTTGACAGTTTATTCGCCACTACCTATTAGAAATTAAAGCTGGGATGACCCATTTCAAAATTCGTAAAATTTGGCATTGTTATGAGATTATAATGAGTATTTAAAACACTTTTACACCTTACAGTTTGTAACATAAACCTTTAATTTTTAAACATATGCAGACCCAAGTTACTATTTCAAATGCGAACTTTTTGCAAAAGGGTTATCGTGTGATTTTTTCTTTTTTGCGACATGTTTGCACAGCAATAATATTTCAACTAAAAAGATCTAATCGAGAAAGGTTCCGAGTCGCATAAAAGGATTTCCCCGAGACTGCCGGGGAATTATGTTTTTAGCGGTTACTTTTTATTATGTAGTCTGACTCTATGATCCGAACATTGTACGTTAAACAGAATTTTGTTCGGACCATCCAAACGGGCATTTGTCGGGCCGGATTAGCGGATATTCAGATTAAGGTGAGTTCGATTAGTCTATACCGTATTTATATTGCTCAGGCCCTCAGTATCTAAGCTTAGATTCTGCAAATGCTAAAACTGATCAAAATTAACTTAAGATTCCCCTATAATTATCACCTATGAACAATAAAGTAATGTGAAATGCAGCTGATATAGATAATCTAAATAAAAAAAACGTAGGTTTACGTGTTAAATGATTGGCAAATTTTTAAAATCAAATAGCGAGTACTCAAAATTATAATTAAGAGTTGAAATTTGGCGAGAATTTTTGTTCCAATGTTTAGAACAATATTTCATCAATGGAACGAAAACAATTTTTTTTTTTTTTTTCAAACGAAGCACCCTAACGTATATATAAAAATTAATTAATTAATTAATATGTTGAAAATTTGGATTGGTACTCACAATATACATCAGTTTGAGGAAGTCATAGGTAATATAGGAGTTTTAAAGTTTTAATAAAAAACAATTTATAAAAAAGATTTATTATAAGAAAATAATACCTTTACCTTCATAATCACATATACACTGCTAAAGTCACTTTTAAATAATTTACTTAAAAAAAGATCAATAGATTGGTGTAAAATATTACAATGGTAACCGAAATACCCACAATTAATAAAATAATTGGATGATGTAAATCAGAGTTTCCCAAACTTGGATGGACTAAGTGACGGTGATATTTTGATAATGAAGCATAGGACTCGTACGATTCATTAGAAAATTATTTGTAAACTCATACGGAGAACTTTCATGAGGGAAAAAATTCAAATAAATCTTGCAAAATAAAAATTAAAGTAGGGGTGCCCAACTCTGAGATCTCGAAAAGGATCGCAGATATAATTGCAAAATAATCATAATTGTAAATATTTTGCAAAATAAATTTTTCTAAACAATATCTATTTAAATTTTAATTAGATAGTAACATTCCATTTTTCAAATTGAATAATGCTGTAATTTTAAGAAAAATAAAATAGGAAAACACCTGTTCGTGTCCATCAGCTGATTATGAAAAAATATTTTGCAAATGTCATTCAAATTTTTTACATCACAAAAGTTCTCTGTGTGGGCCTAGAAACTATCTTCAAAAATACAATAAGGGTCCCACGCTTCATTATCATTGATGACCTGCAATAACTTCCACATAAACTACTTACTTAATAATTTCATTTTTTACTTAATATAAGAATAACTATTTAATTTCAGATCTGTAAGCAACTTCAAGTTAAAAAAATTAATTCAAATAATCTGAAATTGTTTATTTTTTTATGTGTAATTAGTGCAATTTAGCACTAAAAAATAATACACTTTAATTTAATTTAAATTACTTTTGTTGCACTTCCTTTGGAAGACAGTTTGAGAAACGCTGGTGTAAATACAATATAATTTAAAGTTATATATAATATATGCACCCCTTATTATACAGGGCTGGAAAATCCACATGGTCCATCTGCCTTTACATGAGAGCGACAAAGTAAAGTAAAGAAATCCGTGCGATAGACAACGATGGCTATAGTGAAGACGTTTCATAATCTGAATAGTCCCGTTTCGGGTTGGAAGCGGGAGTGACTAATCAGATTATGAAACGTCTTCAATGTAACCATCCTTGTCTATCGCACGGATTTCTATGACTTACTTTATCGCTCTCGCATAAGGGCCGATGTACCATGGGGACTTTCCGAACCTGTATATATTTTTTTTTATCACTTGATAGAAACGAAAAAATAGTATATTACACCTCTTTAAATCACAGAAGACTTGTAAATTACTAGACTAGAACTTTTACGAAATATATCTTATATCTTTTGTTGTCTCTGCAGTAACATGAAATATATTTTTTATGGTTGAACAATTTCTGGGCTGGTTGCCACCCACTTCGTTAGTTTGGACTTCTAGATATTTTGAGACATACCGCTCTTTTCCCAGATTCAGAGTTTCTTCTGAAGAAGAGAGCGGTATGTCTCTCAAAACATTAACAAGTTTATATTGTTCAACCATTGATAACTGACATGGAAGCCCGCACACCAATATTTTTTATAAGAATAAGAATTGCATATATCTTATAACTTAGATTACATAGACATGATAGGTAAGTAACATTAAAAAAAATAATCAGTTAATTTTCAGAACTAACACATTACATAGTTAAAGTGCCATAAGTACCTAATGTATACTCCAGACATAATAACTTAGAATTCAAAGGTTGGATTAATATAGGTTCATGATATTTATTGTTGCCTGTATGACTCTGCATATTCGCAAAGTTCCACACTCGAATAACGCCATCAATGGTTCCCGCACACAATTCAGCCCCATCACAACTCCAAATTAACTGAACTACTGGAGTGTCTTTACATCTCAGTTCCACAACTATTTTAGATGTCAATAAGTCCCACACACGAATTTTTTTGTCTTCACTTGCACTAGCTAAAAAACGGCCCGACGGGTTAAAGGCTAGATCATAGATTGTGCCTTTAGCAGCATGCAAAAGTCTCATGGGGCTTGCTTTACTTAAACTCCACAACCTAATATTTCTGTCAGCTGAACCTGTCGCTATATAAAGACAGTTTGGATGGAAGTCTAAACATGTAATAGCTTGAGTATGTCCTGAAAACACTCTCAAGGTCTTTCCATTTGTAATATCCCATAATCTTGCCGTTGTATCCATGGACCCTGTTACTAGGTATTCACCATTACTACTAATTTTCACACAGTACACTGGTCCTAAATGACCTGTACACTTTTTCAACAGTTTCATATCTATTAGATCATATATACATATACTGTGATCAGCTGACGCAGATATTAATTTACTATTATTTGGTGATACAGCTATGCTGTATATTTGACCAGAGTGATTGGTAAATTTTAACTCTTTATAATGTACTTGACTAAAAAGTGAGTCCAAAGAGTGAATTGGCACTAACTTTAGTACGTTATTTTCAGACAAAGCGACTAGTCCACACTGTCTTTTTAATAATCCACATGATATGGCCTGTTTATTATTACTTATTTTTATATTATATATAGGCAAAGGTTCTTTTTTTAAGTTTTTAATTGCATTTAACAGTTCTTGAAATTTGGAATCTTTCAGAACATCGTCAGCAATCATTTTTTCTATGTCCTTTGCTGAAGTTTCTTTATCGTTACATTTTTCAAAATCAAACCAACTCTGTAAAATTTGTAAAAAGAGAACATGACAACTCTCCAATACAAATTTTTTTAAAACTGCAAGAGACTGTTCTTTTAATTCAATCACAATTTTTTTAGACCTGAATTTTTCTTTTAGTTTAGTTATATCACCATCACTTGAGAATAAATTAATCAAATCTCTAACTGTGCAATCACATTTACCTTTATCGATGGCGGGTAAATGACATTTTAAAAAAGATGCAGCTCTCTCAGAATGTCCTCCGCCCACAATATCTATATAAAGGTGGCAAAATAATGGTCCTACTATCTGTTCTACATCGTGGCAATGATTTTTATGTTTTGTTTGATCCTTTAACCACAGAAGAAATTTTGTGAAGTTTTGATCTATCACCAAAGGGTCACTATTATAACAGCTGTATAAAATTGAATTAGATCTTCCTACACCACTTTCTAGTAATGAATGAGTTATTTGTTCATTCTTTGTGCTTTCAAAGGTTTGCAAAGTTGTGTAATTTCTCTTATGGAGATACCCTGTAACTACATTTTTCACTTCACTTTTGGAACGTCTTACTTCATTATTTTCACGTTTTACATCATCCATACTATTCATCAAACAAAGCAGCTTTGCATAGTCACAAAGAGCTTTAAAATCAACATGTTTTACGTGCATAAATTATCCCGTTAATAAATGTTATGTGATGATGAAGACAGAGGTTAGGTTAGAAATGAAATCAACAATGATAAATGTGCACTCTATTTTACCGACATTATAGCGCATTTCTTTAAAATTGAGACATAATTACATGATGAGAAACACCAACCAGGATTATTCTACTTCATTTTAAATTTACCCACACAAACTTTTTATTGATTTATTGAAATAAAATCCTGTATCAAATATATGTAGCAACTATTCTTAATAATTTTTTCTAGTATTTTTAAAATAAAATTCAAGTTGCCTAAGAATTGAAGAAACTCCTAAATGTCTTATGAAGTGATTTTTTTGTTAACTTAGGGGGGAAACCACATTAGGAGCTGATTTTTCAGGTGTTCCTCAAGAATTTTTTTGAGTGGGACAAATCGCTTAGGATTTGATCAAACTTCGACATTATTTTATCAAGATTTTGAAATACATTTACAAATTTTTTCAAGTCATTTGTGTTGAAAATGCCGAAGTTATGGGCTGTTGTTCCACCGAAGGTCGTCGTCTGTTAATGTGTAAGGTAGCAATTTTGATATGAAAGCAAAATGGCTGTTTTTCTGCATTATTAACATGTTTTCCAAGAATATGAACCTCATCGTGGGTAAAAATTGTGAATATTGAAGTTTTGACACGTGTTTGAAAAAAAATTTATGAACTTTGACCATTTTATTCCGATCCGATTTTTTAACCTCCTAATGTGGTTTCCCCCCTTAAACACAAGCATCAAATTTTAATTTTTGTGCCTACCTATTATTAACTCAATTTTAAGCATAGAAATTGTTAATGGTGTTAATATTATCATTGTTATATTTACTTATCACCAAAAACGTTTGAAATTTTTTCTTAACATTATTTTCTTATAGCCCTAAATTGAGAAATTATGTTTCATGCTGCTGGCTAAATTATTTATCACTTACATAACTTCAAACACGGCCTTAAAAACTGCAATGTGTAGATAATTTCCTACCTTGCCAAGTGTTGTTTTGGAAGGTTGGGAGCAGCCTCTGGATTTCCAACTAAAGTTCCTTGGTCAGCCATCAAATAAGCAAGATGACGTCTTCGATACGTGTCTATCATGACCTCGTTCAACGAGTTTGTTAATTGAGTTGATATCTACAATATGAAATGAAAAAACGGAATAAGAAAATATTAAAACATACCTACCTCTAATAGTTTATCTACATCATCAATATATCCCGGAATGTCCGAGAGCGCATTAAATATTTGAGCAGCATTTTCCAGTTCCTTAAGTTGTGGCTCTTTCATTTTAAGCATGCTAAGGGTAATTTGGAATAAAACGATAGAGCCTTCAAAAAAGAACAAGTCCCAGATCCTTAGCAATATTTTCATGTGCACTACACTTGCAAATAATGTTAGAAACCACTGTAACGTTATCAGTGACAATTCGATGTCATGGTTCTTCAAGGTTTCATCCAGGTCAGGCAGATAATTTGTAATTAATGTCCGTAGTACCCGCTGATCTGCTTGTATACCTATTACAATACAATTAAGTACTCAATTGGGAATAATCAATTAGAATAAGGGAGAAAAATTACCGAGCAGTGTTGAACTATAATATGATGCTGGCAATAGATCTTCTACAATTGTTACCATTATCCAAAAGGCATTTTCTTCTTCCATAAATAATAATAATGACGCACCTATCATACCCATTCCTTGACAATGACTGTAAAAAAGTGTTTCGGTGAAAATAAATTTATCTTTTAAATTAACAGTATATCTTACCCTATATCTGGATACAACCAGGCAATGCCTCGTAAAATTCTCCGTAATCTAGGAATTCCTGTACTATTAATATGACTGTAACAAGCATTTGTAGGCATTGTATGCAATAAATCCTTTTCAATTTGCTTAGATGTCATAAGAGAATCATTACTGGACATTTTAACAATATCTTTATAGCACAACTCAGATTGTTGTTTCTTTTCTAAAGCTCCGGACATTCTCATCCACATTTGAGCCCTTAATGAATGAGGAATACCCGACTTTACCATGGTGAGGAGTTTGTCTGTTCTAGGTAATCTAAGTTCTACTTTATCCCACGTTAAATCTGATACCTCTTTGTTATGAGAGAATTCTAAATGTGCCACCCACTGCAGTCTGAAAATTATTATTTAATAGTGTAACTGATTTAGTATTTCTTAAGAAACCTGTGTTGAGGATCTTCTACAAATGGGATGCCAAGGAGTTTGTTTGAACTTTGCTCGGGGCCATCTTCTTCATCGACACGAAATCCAAATTCATCAAACCTAAAAGTTTGTAAATATGTCAGAGAATAATATCCGGGTTAATCATCTACTAATGGTACCTATATTCAGGTTGTGAATTGGGATCATCTGGTACAACCGACTGTTTTGCCATAATGTCTTGGGGCCACATACTAGGTGTCAAAGCAGAAAAAGGACCACCCGGCGTAGGTATTAACATATCATTCAAATTTAAACCTTCAGAAAAACTATCATCCATATCATCAGGCTCTATAGCCAATTCAAATTCTCGCCTCTGTAATATATAGAAATAAATAAAAAGTTAAAATAATACTCTTCTCTTACAGTGTGGGCATCTTTTCCAACATAACCTTCGTGATTTCTATTTTCAAATAAAGACTTAGCTAAATCCATTTCTTTTTTGTTTACTATTGCATTAAATAAATAAATACTGTTGATTTTTATTTTATAACAGCGTTAAAGATTCACAATATTGAGCTGCTAGGAGTTGGTAATTTGTATGAAGCATAATTAATTAGCTCATTTTGGAACTGTTATGTTATTTGAGAATAATTTGATAAGTAAAACAAATTAAAATACAAATAATTCAACCTCCATCTGTTTTGTGACAGACAGCAAAACTACATAAACCATAAATCACAGAATATTTATAAAAAGTCTGAACCACTGAACACTGAACTCTGACATAAAGGCAGTTCAGTTTGCGAACGAAGTAGTCCGGTGTCCCATGCATCCGAATTCCGACGATACGAAGGTCCGAAAGTGTTCCTATTGGTTAATATATATTCAAATTTTAACCGCTCATTTACATCCGAAATTTTTAAAATTCATACGACGTCGGAAAAAGTAGAAATAATTTTAACTTTTATCCGAAATCGTACGTTTTTTAACCTCACTTTTTTATTTCTTAACGTGCTATGATTGTTGTTTGGTATATTTACAGTCAAATAAATGTTATATTATAATGTCCAATGTAGAAAATATAATATTACGTATATTTTCTATAATATATACCTATGGTTGTCATTTGAAAATGTTTCACCTTCATCTTGTAATAAATTCCATGGTTCTATACTTGATTTCTATGAGATTAATTTCAGATGCATGTGAATTATATTATCATTCGTACGAATTAAAATATTTTCGGATATCGTACATCGGATGCATGGGACACCGGCCTTAGTAGTTTAATTTAAGTATTCTCTGTGGTAAACAATGTCAACTAGAAACTAGAACTGTTCAACATCTATAGTTCATCGCTTACTTCTTGGTATTTTAAATTCTAAAGTTTACGTAGACGACCAAATCATCAAATCAAGTATCTAGTCAATTTTCAAAGCCTATGAATGTTAGTTGTTTTCAAGTCAAGTATTCTCCTAACACGTTTATATAAAATTTAAATACAGAAGCAATGTATTTCTAACAATGGGAGTGGGAGTAAGATGAACAAGTTTAAAGCATAGTATCTTCCGTGCAGACCGACATTAAAAATTTAGTTTGGAATGTTCAATGTTCATTTCTACGATGACAACCAGAGATAAAATAAAAATAATTTCTCTATGATGACAACTACATATTTCGAAATGTATTAATACATACATTGGTACATCTTTTCTCTTTACCCAACACCCCTTTTAGTAGGAAAAGACGGAAATTTTAAAGCTCTATCTTTGCAACACTGTAAAACGATTACTTCAAGGAGCAGTAATAAAAGTTAAAACATTCTTATAAGAAATTTATTTAAAGAAAAAAAAAAAATACAGACATTATTAAAATTTGTGCAGTTTATAAGTAAAGACAAGTATAAAACATCATATCCACACTAAGGGTGATCTTATCACATAGATCTTTATCACATTGTTGATAAATTTTAATAGACTAAAAAATCTATACTTGCACAACCACCAGCCACTTTCAAAAAATTTTTTTTAAATATAGAGTTTACTATGAAAGATGTAATAAAACAAAAACTATGTAACAAATTATGCAGTTTAAAGAGAGTAAATCACAGGGAACTTTAATAGATTTACATTATTTGTTTTACTTTTATATATAGTCACCGAGAATAAATTTTTTTATTCACATATTACAAAACTTACTAAATAGGTACTAGCTAGGGTGGCTTTGAAATAAAATAGCAGCTGCACAAATAAAACACTTTATAAAGACTAGAAAACAGGATGTCAATAAATTAAAATAACTAAACTAAAAATAGCAACTATGCTCCAGATAATTACAATAATTAGAAAACTTATACAAAACTAACTGTTTCAACCATGTTTCCATGTCACTTTAAATAATACAATTTAATTTTATAAAAAGAAAACCTGAACGGTGTTGTAAGGTAGGGGTACAAATAAAAGAAGAATTCCTTGGTGTCACATTACATGAAAAACAAAATCAATTATCCTGAAGTGTTCCAAGAGAGCAAATTATAAAAACACACTGAACAAGTAAATATACATTTTCTTAGGCTGTTTATTGTGTTCTGTAGGGAATGTCTGAAATCTTTAGATCATATAAGTATATACGTATATATATATAAATTATGACTGTAACNTATATATATATATAATGGGAAACTTCTTGAACCTTTTGTCTTCTAATTGGGAATTAATTTTTCTTAGGTATCAGGTTCTAGTTTGGTCGCTGGTCGAAATGATAAAAAACAGCAGCAATAATTTTTTATTAAATTCTAACGTTTCGCTCCCGATCGGGAACTTTTTCAAAGATTATCTTTCAAATAAAACACAATATTTTGTACAAGTCACACTAAAAACTTGAAAATATAAAACAACTTAATGATTTACAATATTAACACGCATTACATTTTTATTTTTACGATAATTTTTTTGTTAACAAAAAGTTCCCGATCGGGAACGAAACGTTAGAATTTAATAAAAAATTATTGCTGCTGTTTTTTATCATTTTGACCAGCAGTCAAACTAGAACCTGATACCTAAGAAAAATAATTCCCAATTATATATATATATAACAATAACGATATGCTACTAAAAACAAATGAGCTTTTCAATTCACAACATTTACGTTAGCTAAAAGTTAGCACTCAATTGAACCACTGCATTAAGTGATTCGATAAGAGTGGTAAAATTATTTCCAACCTAGCAGTATCTAGGTAGGTATGTGAATTGAAAAGCCAATAGTAAGAAAAAAAAAATCATCTAGAACATCTATCCTTAAGTCACCTACCTAAAAATAAATGTTTAGTGGTCCACTTTACATTGTGATAGAGCAAAAAAACTTATGCATTGTGACTGGGCAAAAAAAAACTTATAGAAATGCCACCAGGTCACTTATTACACATGTAGTCTAGTGTAAAACTTATATTTGGTAGTGAGCAATAATGTTTTATTTAAAATTTAAGTACGGATAGTTTCATTTTTGATTTCTTATTTTGTATATTCTTCTATACCTATGGATCGTGCGTTCATGTATTGATAATTTATGTATTCTGTTCAAATAAGATATATTTTCTTATTAAGATCACAGATATTAATATTATGAATAATGCAGATATTTACGAAATATTAACGGGAATAGTGAAATAAAAAAAAAACATTAAACAAGTCGCTTGAAAGAAAATTTTAAATTTGTTCCACTAACAGTAATGTGTAGATTTGTAGAGATCTATTTTATTAAATATACGAATTCGTCTAATACTTGATGTATATGTGAAAAACTATTACTACATCATGGCACTACAATATTTTCTATATGTAAATTGTAATATTGCACCGTTTGCATTACGTTAAAAGCCACCCTTTTTAAAATGTTTCTATTATTATATTCGAATATATATCAATGGTCAAACCACAGTTTATTGCTTACCTAAGAGTATTTACATTTACAACAATTAACAAAGATAATGTGAAATCGTTGGTGGGGTCACAATAATTTGACCACTAATATATGCCTAAAATGCAGTCAATATATGAGTTTTATAAAAATAAATATACTTGCATATTTATCTATATAAAATTATTTGTATGTTGCGTTACTAAAAATTTTACTAGAACCATTAATAGGTGTTAGTTAATTCTTTTTTTCAGTATCTTTGAATTTCTGGATTTGTATCAGTTATCAATTTTTCGTATTAGGCCACGTCGTTTAAGATGTTTAAGTGCACATTTAGCCGCTGTACATTTTGCAATACGATAATTACGACCAATTCCTTTAAACAAACCTTTCCCAAATACTTCTACTGTAACTCTAACTCTCCTACCATCCGCTAACTTTTCTGGTTTGCCAAATTTGGCCGTCTCAGGTTCCAATTCCAGAAGTTCTCTTATAGGCGATTTGGGTACCTTATTGCTAAATTGTTCAATCTCCGTTTTCATCATTTTATAATATACTTTCCAAACGGCATCAAGAGACATGCCAGAATCTAAAAATATTGCTCCTGCTACAGATTCAAATACGTCTCCTAATGCTTTTGGTACTTCGACATCTTCCACTTCTTCACATTCAGTTTCCACCATTAGATACAACTCGTCGACAAGTGAATGACCACTTTCTTCCTGAAGCCTAATAAATTTTTCCACAACTTCGTTTAATCCAGGTGATAAATGCCGAAAATATTTATGAAAACCATTTCGAACTGCCAGAGATGCAAATATTGTGTTATTTACCAAAGCTGACCTCAAATCAGTTAAAGCGCCAGGTGAGTGCATTCTTGGGTCTTCATAAAGATGTCTGGTAATCAAGTAATCCAGTACTGCATCTCCTAAAAATTCTAAGCGCTGATAACAATCGGTAAGTTGATTTGGAGAGTATGAAGCGTGAGTTAGTGCCTGTAATAAATAGGAACGATCTCTAAATTTGTATCCAATGTGACGTTCAAATTTATCATATCCATCAAGTAATCGTTCTAATTCACCTTCTGGATCTGCAATATGTCTTAATAGAGGCGATCGTGGCAACTCAACTTCACCATAAGATCCGTCGTCGATTTTAGGTAAAACTCTTATTCCTAGCCATGCCATAAAAAGGAGAGCACCACGGGGTCCGCATTCAATAAGGTATGCTCCAATCACTGCTTCTACACAATCTGCTATGCTTTTATCAGGTATACTGTGTTGTGTCACTAGATTATAGGGGATTACATTCGGCAATGAATAACCTTCACCTCTCTCACGAACCATTGAACAAATATCATCTAAAGTCATATTTCGTGTAGCAGCCATATCGGCGACTGTCCAACAATTTGCTGGAAATTGAGCATCTATCAGAGCTTCTTCAAGTTCTTTCGGAACATAGAAACAAGGCGGAAGCCAATTATCATGTGGATCGAACTTAGTAGCTATCATAAATTCACCTAGTCCTTTTCTCTTACCAAGGCGGTACAGATTAAGATTGCTTACTTGTTTTGAGCGCAGATGGCTTAATTTGCCTTCATGAACATTCTCGTATTTGGCATAGAGGTAATTGGTAATAGCGTATTTTAAAAATGAATCGCCAATTGTTTCTAGACGTTCCAAATTGATACCGTCATTTGCATTCGACATTGTTAATGCTTGTAATAGAACATTTGGACTAGGACCAGGATGTTCCTCCAAATTAGGCTGTCTATCAAAACTAAATGTTAGAGTCTCTGATATGTCGTAGTCGTTAACATATTCCGTGTACTTAATTTCGAATGATCTGGGAGCTTTTATTTCATTTATGAAAAGAATGTTAAAATCAAAACTATCCAAACTGGTTTTAATACTTTTCTGTTCCGTGTGGTTTCTATTAGGATTTCTTTGAAATTCACAGTCTGATCTCACTAATATTCCACTGGACAGAATATATTCTTTATTCTTTGCACATGCTTCATGGAAATCTGTCCTTAAGGCTTCAGTGAGTTCACTGTCATCATCGATTTTCCAAGCATTGCTATCGTCAAATAAATAAAACTCTTTATCTTCATCATGATCATCTTCTACGGCTTCAGCTTGGTGATCACCAGTAAATTCAATTCTTAATCCACCCCATTCGGATCCTGAATCTTCAATTGTTAAATCTGAATCGGTATCAGAAAAATCGTCATAAATATTATCTAAATTCAACCAACTAGTCGGCGAAGCATAGCGCACTACAGCGCTCGTACCAACTGTATCAGTCACTTCTGCCATTTCATTACACCATGTTCCAATCTCTATCCACTTCTCGTCATTTGAATTTTCATCCTCGCTTTCTTCCAAAGGCGATTCAGTTTGTTCCGTCTTCATATCGTCACTAATTTCAGTTATTTTCAATTCTTGCAGCTTCTCCTCTGCCCTCTGTTCCAGTAATTTTAATTTCTCCTCTTGTTTTTTAAGCTCGTCTTCTCTAGACTTCTTCAATACATCTGATAAGCTCCAACCAAAATTTAAAGAGGGCCATTTAAAATCTAAGTAAAACATAAAATTTAAGTCAGTTTCAGTTAATTTATTAAAAGTGCTAATTTTAATGTTTTTCAAGTAATGTACTTACCTTCAGGTAACTTAACTTTGCCTAAATTTAAAGCAAAAGCCACTGTTTCTCGAATTTGATTAGCTAAAAGCAATGCATTAATTCTATAGAGTATGCATGGTAAGGCAACAGCTTTCCTCCAGAGTGACGCAGGGAAGGGATGTATTGAACAAAGTTCCGGAACTAATATTTGCTTCTGCTCTAAATTTTCTCTTTTAGCTCTTTTTGTTTCTTCGCTACTTGTTGGTAAAGCAACACCTTTTCTGTTAACATATCGTGGAGTTAAAAAGTTTAATCTAGCTGAAGTGTGGTCAACATCTAGCAAGTTCTGAGTTAAACTCTGTATCTGAATACCATACTTTCTTAAATAATACTCCTCAAATGTCGCATATTCTGATCCAGGAAAGGCAGATGTTGGATTAAGATTATGACAAATTTCTGCAACATAAAAATATTGTGGCTGATCTTGGTTACGATACCAAGGCATAACAACAGCATCTCGATATTCTTCTGCGTTAAAAACATAGCTTTTCCTATCATCATCTGGTATTATCACAGGAACAGTGGTCAAATTTTCAAAAATCAAGTCTACAAATTGCCAGTCAACTTCGACCCCACCGTCAGCTAAAAGAAATATAAATTTTTTCCAGTAAAATGTACTTTATAAAATATTCAAATTACCATTAAGCGTAGGTACTATTAAATAATTATTGGAGGAGGCATCTGGGTTGAAAAGCATTAAATATTTTTGAAGTCTTAACACACTCGTAAATGTGTAATTCACAAATTCTCTAATCCTTTTTATTTGATCATTGTTCAAAACTATGCTCTGTGAAATCAGTTCCAAATCCACACATACTTCACCTGACCTAGTAAATATTGGAAAAGCAGATATCTGGAAAAAATGTTACTTAGGGACCCAAAAACTATGTGAAACTTGTTAAGGTGTTTGTTCAGAACACAAACCTTTGGTATTTCCTTTGAAGTTAGAATCCCGAAACCTTGCGGGGACTCTTCTGGTGGATATATTCTTCTACCCCTGGTGTTCTGTTCCTCTGGAAGTGGACACGTAAGAGTCATAATTATTTTATAAAAATAAGTAGGTTGGCCAGCAACTGGATGGCAATTGAGTAAAGCATCAGCAATTCGTTTATAATAATACTGACGTCTTTTAGTGGTACCTAGGTTAAAATGTTTTATTATTTTTGAGAAATACATTTAGCAATTTTTACCTGGTCTAATATCAGAATTTTCATCATCTGGCTCATCGAGAGTGAAATTGTTCCAATCATCTTCCGTTGCACGAAAATTCTCTTTATTTATCGGTTGCAAATAATCGTCTAACTCTTTTGTCTTATGTAAAAGTTGGCAAAGCATGAAAGCAGCAGCACGTCTAGCAAGTAAGCTGTTAGGCATCGGAGGACTGGTAACCGTCTGTTTAACGGGTGAATTAATAGGAAGTCTAATGTGGCAAATACATTGTCCAGATAAGTCTTTTTCCTCATACCACAAAGGTGTTAGGCGAGTAAATGTATCACTTGGTAATTTGGCACAATACTTATTTAACAGAGGAATAGCATTTTCCAGTGTGACACATGGTGCTCCGTATTCTGGTAATGGTTGATATGGTTTGCAGCAAGTAGAGTAAGCATCTGCCAACAGTTCCTCCTCTTTATCAGGCTCTAAACTACTACATCTTTTCAACAAGGTATTTTCGACTTCATTATATTCTGCTAAATTTGAAACAAATGACGGTATCTCGTCTTCGTTCGCAAATAAAATATAATAAGCATCAGTCGCACGAGCCCTTGCCTTACTTTGAATATAACTGTGGAATGTTTTCGGTAAGTCAAATCTTATAACTAGATTGCATTTTGGTAAATCACAGCCCTGTTCCAATAAAGAAGTAGTTACTAATATATTACATTCATGGCATCTAAATTTTCGTAAGACCTCTTCCTGAGTCTTATGTTCATGTTCGGCCTCTCGAGGTTCTCTTATTGGATCTGCGACCTTCTCAACAGAAAATAATGTTGATACCCACCAGAAGTCATCATCCGTTTGGGATAAAGCCTAAAGAAAAAATATTACTGTCAGTAATATGTGTAATTAAATGTTCAATGATGCACGCTATTTATAATTTTTGTGTTCAGTATTAATTTCAACTGAATTTTGATCATAATTATATATATCAGAATTACTTACGCATAATAGTGCGAAAATCGCTTTTGCCTTATAGCGATTATGAACAAAAATGAGCGCACACAAAATTTCTTCACTCTGCGGTCTTGAAACAAAAGATCTCCTTGAAGTTTTACTCTTTCCTCTTGCATTAGTAGGAATATCTGTTTCAGTTACCTTTTCTGCACTATTTGGTTTTTCTCCAGGAGGTTTAAACTGTTTTAAAATTTCAATGAATTTTAAAACTTTAGGTGTAGAGTACTGTCTTAATCTCTCTGGATCATCTAATTTTTCAAACTCATAATCACAAGCTGCCCTGACAGTAACCAGTGTCGACGAAATCATACAAAGTAAGAGGTAGTGTCTTTCATAAGGGACTTTAACTTTCAATTTTTCTATTTTTGAAAGAATATGCAGAGCTGCCTTATCAGCACCCCATGGTCCTAAATCTTCGAGAATCTCTAGGAAATCATTCAGTAATTGCAATGGAGTGTCTTTTGGATTAGGTACTTCTTTCAGCTCTTCTAAGAGTTCGTCATCATATATTTCACTAGGATCATAACGGTGCTCTAATAAAAACAATTTTGAGTAATTCACTATAGATTTTATACTAAGATGCAAATCGAACTGTTGAAATCGTGAACATTCGATAATATTTTCCCGTGGACGACAGGATAAGCGAATTAAGGTTACTATTTCAGATGATGTATCTACAGAACAATTTAGCAATTTTTCCAGGCGCCTTAGCTCTGCTTCTAATCGGTCTGGTTGTAATTCCAACCCTAACAGTCCTGTCGTTAAACCAAGAATTCGTGGTTTGTCTTTGGGTAAATTTCTATATTTGTTCATAATAAATTTTATGAATGTTTGACGATGACCATAAAGACAATCGTCGATAACTAAGAGATTGAAATAAGCCAAATCCTCTATAACATCCTCACGACTTAATATTTCTACAGAAATTTCCGCAGTAGTTATTATTACTTGATAATTATTTAAATACTCCTTGATATGTTCTATTTCTTCAATACTTTTTGTGATACTTACAACATTTAAATCAGTCAGATATTTAACATGGCATGTCATAATAGGTACATTCTGTAAATCTAAAATAAATAAAGCTCTTTTGCTAGGGATCTTTCGCATTTGCCATGAGAATTCTTGCAGTAATTTCACTACTGTGAAAGCTTTTGAAGAACTAGTACTCGAACATACTATTGTATTTCTTTTTTTTGCCGATTCCAATAATTCCACTTGATACTCCTTAGGAGTAAATGTATGTGTATACACATTCTCATTCAAATAACATGCCATTATATGTATATTTATATTTATTTTGGGATTTACTGAATGGTTTTAAGGTTAGGATAGTCTTCTATCTTGTGAATTATATCCATAAACTCATTGAGATGACAAGTTATATTCATTTTTGTAATTAAATCCATAATAAAACTATTGCCCACTCATTTTAAATCTATTGTAATTTGTTTACAAACAGTTACTGTTAAATAATAGACACTATTTTATATGGGCAAAAGGCAAATCTGACAAACACAAAACAGAGAAAAGACCGACAAACATTAACATCACGGCACGGCTCACAGAAAACCATAGAAAATATAGTTTTAATATTAGGTTTTCTATGCAGAAAACAAATCGACTTATTTCAATTTAATTTGTGGTATGCTGTAGGTCTTTTCGGGTTTTACAGTTTATTGTTCTCATCCCAGAGTGTCACTTGAAATTGGTGCATCCGAATTTCTTAAATTCATCTGAAATTGTTCTCAGAATCAAATAGGCATTTCCTAGTTGAGTTCGAGTTAAAATTAGAACCGTCTGGAATACAATAATAATATTATTTCATACTGCCTGTCATGTATTTATTTCTAAACATCAAATATCAAAATATTTATTCTGATGTTTCTCTAAAAAATTCTTCCTTAAGGGTTACTGATCTTACCATTGGACAATCTGTTCATTTAGAACAGCAATTACCAGGCAGTGTCAACTCTACTCTAAAGTGTCGAGGAGAAAACAAATCTGAAAAGACAGAATACTGATACTGAACGTACGTGTGACGTGTGACCTCGGACTGTCAGTGACTGACGGACGTTCTCTTTCCTCTTTTACTTCCGCATTTTATCCTTCTAAGCAAATTTCCAATGTTATCCATAAGATTAGTGACGTTATCGTTATCTTTTTGAGAACTGAAGAACGTCAAGTGTCAAGTCGAAATTTGTCTTGCCGAGTTTTCGATCAAGCGGACGCTGCAACGCAGCTGTCAATGCCTGAATAAAAACGAAAGAAACGTATTGGACTTTAATAACTTAATAATATAAAAAAGCTTCCATTATATCGCATTGTTGTAGGTATGTAGATATTGGTAATTTTACCTTTACCCACGTTTTTTTTAGGAATATGAAATGGATACGTTTACAATTCTAGGTTAGATTTGCAGTTCAAATAACTGTATATGTGTTAATTAGTATATCATCTGTATATTTCAGGTGAATGTGTAAACTGGTAAAATATGGCTAGAGGACAACAGAAACTTCAGTCTCAAGCCAAAGCTGCAGAAAGGGCTGCAAAAGCAAAAAAACAGCAAGGACACAGTGCCACAGACCAAAAAAAAGCTGCCCAAAAAGCCTTAGTTCACGTGTGTGCTGTTTGTAAGGTACGTAATTAATATATATATTTGTTTTTTTTTAGAGTTCTTACCATTGCAATTGTAACGATTTTCAATGTATTAGTATAAAAATTATTCATTGATTTTAAAAAAATTATTTCAATATTGAGTACACATGAAATTTATTATTGAATGCAGAATTTTCCAATTAAATAAAAAGGTTGACTATCTGTGCAAATTAATGATGAACATACTAATGGTAATATTGTAGAACATTGTCAGGAATCAGTTGGATTTATTAATATTCTTTTTTTTTACAGGCTCAAATGCCAGATCCAAAGACCTACAAACAGCATTTTGAAAATAAACATCCCAAAAATGAAGTGCCTGCAGAATTAAAAGATGTTTAAATTTCATGCAATGCACTAATCACCAACTGTGTTCCATCCATGAGTTGGACACTTCTTTTATATTATGTTAATTCTTTTCTTTCTGGTGTTCTGTCTGTATAATTAATAATGGGTATTTGAATTATTTACTATTTGTATTTCAATAACATTCACTGTTAACTTTTCAATAAGTGTTTATTGTATTTGTTAATTTTTATTAGTAAGAATGTAAGAGTAAATTCTTAAAATAACAAGCAATACAAATATCGTGTTTTATTTGTCTTGTTTCTAAATTAATGTAGTTATACAAACAGCAATACCGTCTGGAAATATAGACATTTTTGTTAATCTGTGTTAAATTTTTATAATCCTACAAAATTGTAAACGGGTTAACGTTTTAAAGAAATAATATCAATTTGTGTTAACTGTTAACGTTTGCACGAGTTTGTTTATTGTTTAATAAATTAAGTAGAAAGATTATTTAGTTGTTTCAAAAGATTACATAAAAAGTACTATAAACCAAGTACTTACGTAGAAATAAGTACTATATTTACTACATACAGTAACTTCCATATAATTTTTCTTCTAAACCTCGTAGTTTTTAAGAATTTAAAAAGAAATGAAATTTTTATTGCCCAGTACTGGAGCGTAAGGCTAAATACTTAAGCAAGTTAATAATAAAGAAGCAAAAAAAAAATAATCACTGCTAGCATTTAGATAGCGAATTCATTCTATAAAACATTCATATATGTTACTTATGCATTTCTTTAATTCATAAGCACCCCGTTAGCATCATTTTAATGGGAACAAAAATTAGTTTTAGAAAAAAAAAAAATTTTAAAGTTGTATTCAACAAGTACATAGAATTTTGGCCCTTATTTCTGGAACACACACAAATGAGAATTGATGTATTCAGAAAATATTTCAGTTTGAATTCCTAAATCCATGTTCCTTTGTATGACTATTCTACATGTAATTAGTAAAAGTATCAATGAGGAATAATTTTAAACATTTTTAGCCATTTTATTAAATGTATTTATAAAATTATTAAATTAAAAAAATATTGCATAATTAAATTCCATGTTCCTTAAATATATTTTCATATTAATACTTAAATAAAATTAATTTATTTGATTGAAAGTACTATATATTTTACAAAATATTTCATATCCTGAACTTTAACAGCCCATTAAAAAAATATAGTATCAATTGCTACTAAACTTTTTAACACAATCATAAGGAATGCAAACATTCTATTATAAATTTTTTTAATATATAATAAGCTTTTTCTAAATCATCATTTATAATGATTAAATGGAAGTTACCTGGGGTTTTACCTAAAAAAAGAATAATAAATAAATGTCTACAATATATTTTTATTATTTTTACCATACGTTAATTCCTCCTCGGCAATTTTTAGGCGCTGAACTATACCTTCCTCAGTCTCTGTATTTCGGGCTTTTAATCTAGCTTCTAAAGCTTCCATAGAAGGAGGCTCTATGAAAATAAACCATGGATTAAATTCAGTCTTTTTTATTTGTTTGACACCTTGAACATCAATTTCTAGAATGCATATCTAAAAAATAACCAAATACTCAAATGGAGAGTATATGTAAGTATTATTAAATAAATATACCTTTCCAGATTTTGTTATATCGTTTACAGAAGTTTTGCTCGTACCATACATATTACCTCCAAATGTAGCAGTTTCTATAAATTTTTCACACTTAATGTCTTCAAGCATTTGTTCCTTTGTTATAAAGTGGTAATGCTGCCCATCCTTTTCACCTGGGCGAGGTTTTCTTGTAGTATGGCTTACACTAAAGCCTAATTCATTGTAAAACTCTTTCATTAACCTGGCAACCAGACTAGTTTTTCCAGATCCTGAAGGACCGCATACAACAATTGGTCGAAGATTTTTCAACGAACTCATTCTGTTAACTCTAAAGTAATTAAATGCACGTGTTCTTGCTGCAACCAATTTTTTTATTTTTCATGCTATATTTGAAGTTATGAAAACAGTCAAATCTTGTATATCATCCACTTCGAGTAGTAATTTAGATCAACGTTCTTTGTTAATAATCAGATAATTACGCAACAAATTAAAATTACATTAAAACAAGCTTTAAACATAACACAAAATAACCACAACAAATTTTACACGTGTGTGTGTAGTAGGTAGTAGCACAGCATAAGTATCAATGCTGTGGTAGTAGTAAGTAGTGATAACTGATAAGTAGTACACTGTTTTAGTCACAAAATATATAATAGTTCTTTTTGGTAGTAGTCACAAAACAATAAAACATAGGTAATAGTCATTGTACTGTTTTAAAGTACGTTCGTCAAGTCTACTCGTTCGTCAATGTTTGTATGTACAGTGCACACCAGATGTTCCTAAATGTAGGTACTATTGTACTAAATTCGTACAATTTAGATTCAAAGAGGAAGTACCTCGTGCGAATTTATAAGTAGTACAATTTAAAATTTTCTCACAATGAAGTAATTTGACTTTAGTATTCATGAGTTTTCCTTTCATCATTTCTAACCTTTGTATATCTATGTTCTATGATCATTTTTATGTTCCCTGTTCAATGTAGGTAGGTACTTTGTGACTTTGAATTTAATGAGCATTTATGCTGGAGGCTGTCCCGTTCGTAGATTAGGTAGAGTTGTCCCGTTTTGCTATCGAATTATTCACGTAGTACAGGAGTTGTCTCTGAAATTATCACTCATCAAATGCAAATCTTATATCTTCTGTCTCTGCAAAATAAGGAGGTACCTATATTTGTAATTCACGTCACAGTAAAAAGAGGTTTCCCAGTCTTGGAGGCAGAATAAAATTACAGAAAGCCATTTTTTCTGATATAATATATATTGAAGTGTGCAAAATTTATTGTAGCTTACTGCTTTCGAATGTTATGTACACGTAGTACAATTTTAGAAAATTTAGTACAATTTTGGAAAAAACTGCACATTAGTTTTTATAGTGCGGGAACAACCCTGGTTTAAACATTAGAATCTACTGATCTCATAAAAACACATGAACTTTCAACTTTCAATTGATGAATGAATATTTTTATAGTGTTCTTAATAAATAGAGTAAAGGGTAAAAAAATATATGTAGTAACATCCCAAAAAGTAGTGAAGATTTTCTTAAATTACTGCTTTATGAATGTAAAAAAAGTATTATGATGCCACGCAGTGTTCAAGTATGAATTTGAAAACATTATTCAATGAGAAGATAGGTACCTATTCATTAATTTAAAAAATAATGTTTAAACTATAACGAAAAACTTTAAGGACACTACCTCTGAAAACCAAAATAGTTTTTCTTTATCTTCGATTGATAACATTACCTACTGTTGTTAAATAACTAGCGAAAGGAATGTGTTTATGTTACATAACTTTATTTTTAAAAATTTTAAATATACTTATTTCAGAGGTCGCACTGGGTGAATAATATGTGATAGCGATGGTTTAGGAGGTCGTGATTTTATTTGATTTAGTTATACTGTTCCATCAGCATTTGGTAAGCATGCTATTAGGACTATTCATTTTTAAAGTATTTTTTTATTTACTTTAATAAGCAATTTATTTACTTATAGTTTTTATTAAAAATAATCTTAATTAAGAAATCGCCTTAACTGCGTTAAATAGATAAGTTTTGAGGTAGGCAATATTATTTACTCGATTCATTTATAAGTTAAATTTGTTTAAATATTTAAACATTTTCAACGTGTGTTATATCTCCTAAAGTGTTTGTTAACTAAGCAGGTTAAAATCGTTTCTTCAATCATGGTAAATCAAATAAGTATATAAAATAATTAATATGTTTCTCAAATCGCAAAGGTACCTTTTGAAATTAGAATACAGCATACAAAAACCATATTTGCAATTGTAAAATTTTCTTACTCATCAAAATATTTATTTGTTTAAAAAAAATATAATATAGTAACTACCATGTATGTACAACATATTATACCTTACGCAGAAATCATACGAGTTAGGACAACAAATAAGATATTTACTAAGTACATAGCAGGGTAATAATTATAACTATAAATACCTATTATAGATATCACATATCGCATAATCCCCGCACAAATGATCTTAATTTGTTGCTGTGACTTTGTCAGTAGTATATGTACAAAGTTATTAAGTATGTACCTATGTAATTTAAAACGGCACAGGAAAATGTGATTGTTATGAATTTAGACGGCACAATGCAAATTAAAACAATGATAGCTTAATACAAAATAATAATAACTGTACTTATAGCGACTTATATAGTAATGCATTAAACAAAATAGTAGATGCATATACCTGTCTTGTGCTTTATATTACTTTCAAAATGTGCTCGGTAAGTTGAAAATCGTGTTATTATCTTCTGTATTACTGGATATTTTTTGCGGCTAGCTATTAATTAGTGTGACGTAAACCTGCTAAAGTGTATGAAGTGTGTTTGTACTCTGCTCTAATTTATTTAAAAACTCATTTACCTTTCAGAAACGTCGAATGTGAATTCCTGTGAATATGGCCCATAAATATAATAACGGTAAGTTTTAATGTCTGCCAATATTGTACTAATGTTTTAACGTGGTTTTGTTATTTTATTTTTTAAGTATAAATTACATATCATAATTTTTTTTTTGGATCCAAATGTGATAATTGATCTTATTTGATTACATAAGTACGGATCTGTATATTGTACCCAGTTGTTCTTATACTATATTACCAAATAAATCAATTTAGATGTTATATTAGGAAACATATAAATATACTTGATATGAAATCAGTTATATTATATTTTTGGTATCAAACAATATTATTTCGACATTTGACAAGATATAAAGTAAAAATGAAATCCGTCGTTTATTTTTTAGCTATTTTTATCATTTCTGAAAATATTCAGAATAGAATTATGACAAAAGATGGCTATAAAAAGAAATATAACTCTGATTAAGCTGTAAATACAATATATTTTTGTACCATATCTATATGTAATAATTTCTTGACAGGAAGCGGATGTCTATATACCCATATTAATATCGCAAATTGTAAGATTGAATTCAGTTTAATTCAAATAGGTGTCTGTAGAAATTTTTTATTTGTACAAAATTATGAAAATGTATGTTTTAAAAGTAGGTATCCTTAATTAAGCACGTCAATAAACTTTAAGAAGCGATTCTATGAGTAATTTTAAGTCAAAAATATTATAAAAACACGGGTCCACGCAAATCAATAGCTTCTGAGATAAGTATATGTATATGGTGTTGAAATTAAAAAAAAAATCACCTTGTACGAGAGGCGGTGATACTCGGCGTAGTCGCTGTCACTGAAAATCCCAGAAAGTAGACGCCACTGAGTATTTTGAAAATTCCATCGTTATGTCGTTATCTGTAAGTTATGGGCTTTCCTAGAAAAAGAAGACCTTTCATTTTATTTGAAAAAACGGACCATTTTCGATTTATTACATTTATTCATTTTGATTAACGTTACCAAACACTCCACAGAATGTAAAATAACTCTAGAACTCCCCGTTTCTTAAAAACGTTCGTGGGATTTTTTGCTAAAAATTACAATTTTATATAGTGGTTAGCTAATCACCATAATCAAGTCGAAGGAACATCACTGATGTGAACTTTTGCATATTTGTTAAAGGTAGCAAGCGGTATGGCCCGGAAAAAATGCAGAGATTAGTTTCTTGGATTTTTCAGAACTACATTGTATTTAATATCATAAATATTGCCCGTTAATTTTTGCGAACATATTTTATTTCCACTTGAATACTTTTTGCTCGTAATGGTTATCATTTTCTTTAATTGTTGATAAATTACTGGAGGCAGTAAATCGTTTTTATATTCATTATATTAATGAACTGAAACAATTATTTTTTATTGCAGTTGTTATTAATTATTCGAAATAATTACTTTATTTTAATATAATTACTAACTTATTATTGAAACAAAAAAAAAGAGCCTAGTTATTTTAAATTATAATTTTTTTACGTATTTCAGGTTTTTTAGTAATTTTCCAAGTACTATTTGCCAATTTTTTATTTTAGGACCTGATCAGGTCGTCCCTTCTGATGACATTTTTACTGTAAAAGCTGACGGATATGTACGACTTCGAATTCCAGAAAGTGGTAAAGCAATTGAAACAATTACGCCAATTTCAATACCCAGTTTACTTAAACGTTCAGCAGAGGAATTTCCAGATCATACTGCCTTAGCAGCGAAAGTTAACGGAAAGTGGGAAAAAATTACCTATCAGTAAGTAGTGAGAATTTTAGATACAAAAATTTCTAGGGGGCAGTCAGCAGTATAATGATATTTATAAATATAAAAAGATCTGATGTATGCGTTTTTTAAATAAGATAACTGATGTTTGCCGTCTCCTAACTAAAATAATATTGTATGATACAAGCATGGATTAGTTCTAAGTCTATGACAACTAAATTTCAATTGTATGCAAATAAATAAATTACTTAGTTTATTTTACTGTGCCTATCCTCTGTAATCCACTATTTTATTTATGTGTGTTATTAAAGAAGGCGAATATTTCCAGTTTTTGCGTAGGGGTAAAGTAAAATAAGACCAATTTTACTTGTATTGATAATAAGAACAGTTTTATGTGGACATAAACTGCAATCTGTACGTACGTACCTATGAAAAGTAAAGCTTGTCTTGTTATTTGTTTCCTATGGAAAATTTCCTATACTGTCTTACCATTTACGTCCGCCGTATATCTTCCTTCTCTACATAACGTACATACAGACCACCCAAGTTGACAAATAATATCTGTTCCTATAAACTATTCTCAGGTGGTCAATTCATTATTTTCTTTGCTGTGCATATACTTTTATTCTTCAAATTTGCACAATAGCATTGTAATTTTTATCAAAATCAGTCGACCACCTAGAAAATGACATAAAATATGAGTCTCATTCATATAAGCTTCCATACTTTTTATTTTGCAGTATATTATTATTATACAGGTTCGGAAAGTACCGATGGTCCATCTGCCGTTACGTAAGAGCGATAAAGTAAGACATAGAAATCCATGCGATAGAGAAGGATGGCTATAATGAAGGCGTCTCATAGTCACCGCCCGTTTCGCCCTTCCACAAATAAGATCCACTTCTTATTTGTAGAAAGGCGGTGACTATTAGACGCCTTCATTATAGCCATCTTTCTCTATCGCACGGATTTCTATGACTTACTTTATCGCTCTCACGCAACGGCAGATGGACCATCGGTACTTTCCGACCCTATATGTATTATAACTTAAAAATATTGTTTGTCTGCAAAATACAATATTTACAGTCAATTAATTTTGCATTTTAGGCAATACTTAGTAAATGTCCGTACCTGCGCCAAAGCCTTTCTAGCATTAGGGTTAGAGAGGATGCATTCCGTCTGTATTTTGGGTTTTAACAGTCCTGAGTGGTTTATAGCGGATCTAGGTGCCATATTTGCAGGGTAAGTGAAGAAAATAGCGGAAAAATAAATTAAATCATTATATATTTTTAGAGGTATTGCAGTGGGTATATATACCACAAATTCGGCGGAAGCGTGTTTATATTGTGCAAAAAGTAGTAGCGCAAATATTATGGTAGTTGAGGATGAAACACAGCTACAAAAAGTTCTTTCATTTCGTTCGGAAATACCCGACTTGAAAGCTATTGTACAATATACTGGAGAACCAAGTCATCCAGATGTTATTAGCGTAATGTTAACAACAAAATAAAAGATTCAATAACTGGAATTCCTAATTTTTAGTGGAAACGACTAATGGAAATTGGGGATCAACAAACCGATGATTTATTAGAAGAATCATTGAAGAAAATAGCGGTGAATCAATGCTGTACATTAGTTTACACTGTAGGTATACCGGGAAGTAGGTAACGATAATAATAATAATAGTAGCTTTGTTTCTGGAGCAATCCAAAACAGTTTCAAACAGTCAGACGCATTCGCATTCAGATGTAGGTACCTAATGCTTCCAAAATTCATTGTTTCGAATCAAATGCGAATGCATCTCACTGTTGGAAATTGATTCTGATGGACTAGGAGCAAAGTTAAGCAAAGCTGCTTCAAAATGAATAATCATAGAGTACGTATATAAAAAATTAATAAACCTCTTAAGTGGTAACTTTTATGATATTTGTTATATGTAATTTTTAGTCTGGAACGGTCGGCAGTCCAAAAGCTGTAATGCTAAATCATGACAACTTTACATGGGACGCTTTGGCTATTTCTGAAAGACTGACGATAGAAAGGGGTAACGAAATTTTAATAAGTTACCTCCCTCTCAGTCACGTTGCAGCTCAAGTAGTAGATATATATATTACAATGACAGTAGGGGCGTCAGTATATTTTGCAGATAAACACGCCTTAAAAGGCAGTTTGGTAAATACTATGCAAGAAGTTCAGCCTACGAAATTCTTAGCTGTACCAAGAGTATGGGAAAAAATTTACGAAAAAATGATGCAAGTTGCATCTCAAAATGGATACCTGAAGAGATCTATTGCAACTTGGGCTAAGGCACATGCACTTCAATACCACATTAATAGAATTAAAGGGTAAGACTATCAAAAAATATGTCAGAGTTATATTATCACCGGAATATATTGCTCAGGATACGTCAAATTTAAAGTCGAACCCGAGTTTATGGGAAACGTCTTTTAAAAATAAATAGGGTTCTTCATGTAAGATACAGAGTGATCAAGTTTTAATAGAAATCTACTATTTTATATATTTTCTAAACCAATAAACCTATGGCTAATTTAATTCAAACGTGTTCCAGCAGAATTCGAAAATGAAAATATCGAATTGGTCCTGAAACTGTGACAGTTTAATGATGTACTTTGTCAAACTGGTGGATTCTATCTCACAAATCAATGGAAAAGTTCTAATAAACGCTTCGTTTTCGAGATACCGGATGTTCAAATTAAAAAAATATATATGTATAACGCATTTATTTAGATATCTCTTAAGATGCCCGACGTAGATGAAGATACCGACTGAACTAATAATGGACAATAATTTTACATTAATTTTACAAGATATAAAAAATAGTAGATATTTTTTTAGAACGTTATCCTCGAATACGAGCATTTTCGGAAAAATGTTAATTTGAGTAAACCATTTATTTTCAAAAGTAATAATATTGTCTGGGATACGAGGTTAAATCTAACTCACCTTGTACTGACAAGTGCGTTGAGTATTTCATATTCCAATTTTTAATTTTTAGAATAAAATCAAATTCATGGGGTTACAGTTTAGCCAGTGTTCTAATATTTAAGAAAATTAAGCAGGCCTTGGGTTTAAACCGTTGCACCTTTTGCGCTTCTGCTGCTGCTCCTTTATCGCCCGATTTAAAAAAGTATTTTCTGAGCATCGATATACCCATAATGGACGCGTTTGGTATGTCCGAAGCAAGTGGTGCACACACAGTTTGCATTGACGGAGCTACTAATCTGGACACCATTGGCATGGCCTTGCCGGGAACGAAATCGACTTTATATAATGAACAAGATGGACAAGGCGAACTTTGCATGTATGGCAGACATATTTTCATGGGATACTTAAATGATCCTGAAAAAACTGCTGAAACTCTGGATTCTGATGGATGGCTGCACACTGGTGATTTAGGCCATATCGACGAAACAGGTTTCTTATACATCACTGGTAGATTAAAAGAACTGCTCATTACAGCTGGAGGAGAAAACGTACCACCCGTACCTATCGAACAATTAGTTCAAATTGAACTTCCTTGTATAAGTAATGCCTTTTTAGTGGGTGATAGAAAAAAATTTCTCTCTATTTTACTCACCTTCAAATCAGAAATTGATAACGAAACAGGCGCTCCATTAGATACGTTGACGCCAAGTGTACAGGAATGGTTGATACAATTAGGTTGTCCTGCAACTACAGTTACTGAAATTCTTAATGCCGGTCCTGATTCTAGACTTTTAGAAGCCCTTAAAAAAGGGATTGACCGTGTTAATCAGCAAGCTACTTCCAATGCGCAAAGGATACAAAAATTAGCTGTGCTTCCAGCAGACTTTTCAGTTGCCACAGGAGAATTAGGTAAATATTTACTCATAAAAAAAATTATACCCAAATAGGAATTTTGAATTGTTTATGCATCATGCTATAATTAAAAACTATTGTTTTTTATTCTAAGATGATTTATTAATAACAATTATAAAGCTGCAATCATTTCAAAAATTCTATGAAGCTTAGGAAGTTTACAGTTTTCTTACAAGCAGTGGCGTAACCAGGTGGGTAAGATCTGTCGCGTGATTTTTATCATAGCGTACTTGATAAATGCATCGTGGTCTGTCATAATTTGTGTTGAGCTGAGAGTCTGTACATGGTAGTCTGTGCTGTACATATTTTGTGGTTATGCATTTTGATTTTGGCTATTTTCTGTTGCGATTTTTGAAATATTTTTTGTGATAGTCTGACAATGTTTAGTTCCTTTTTTTATGTGATACAAAGTTTTTTTTTATACCTACACTTTTATTTGAAGTTACCAAATATAAAACAAATATAAAACCATTTATAACTATAAAAAACAATATATTATAAATAATAAACAACTTTTATCATTATAAGTAATAAACTAATATTTTCATTTTAAAACCGTTTTACTGCAAATTTTAAGATTTTTTTTAGACCCCCCCTCAACTTTACATTCTGGTTACGCCACTGCTTACAAGTTATACATTCCTATAAATTAAAAAAAAATTGATGATTTATTATTAAGTCCCTAAATTCATGGTACTTTTTCAAAAAGCCCTGTATAAAGAATATTACCCTACACTGCTAACATCTACTTACACACCAATATTTATAGCTGTAAACATTGAAGTAGTAGATTAGGTAATAATTTAAAAGCAGATGGTAACAGAGCTCTGATTTTCAGGTCCAACTATGAAAGTGAAAAGAAGGATAGTGGAACAAAAATATGGTGATATTATTGAAAGACTTTATAATTAGTTAGTATTGATATATGGTTATATAAGGTATAGAAAAATAAAAATCAGATTTCTCAAAATAGTCTTTACTTAAAAATAATATATAAATAATACCGTCGACAAATAGTTATTTAATTTAAATGGTTTTTGTTTTAAATAAATAATTAAATGGTACACATATATTCAATATAAACAAATGTACAGTTTCCTTAAATGGTAACCAAATGCTAGCTACTGGGACATGGTTCAGCTTCCGTATTACTGTCACTACTGTCTGAATCTGGTTTACAGCAACGACACTGTTGCTTGTGCTCATGTTGACGTTTCCGTCTGTCGCATTTAGACGCCCTATGACACTTGTTACATTTACTGGACCTATATACAGGGGCTACTAATTCTACTTTTATATTAGCAGTGGCAGTTACTTTGGTAGTGTATGGGCCACTCGAACTAGATTCTGGACTACTATATTCTACAGTAACTTGAGGTTCAACAACAATACTCTGATTACAGCTTTCTTCAGTTATTGTCGTTAAACTTGGCTCTCTGGTAGCTTTGGCGGAAGTGCTACGCCTCGAAGGTTTTGAAAATGTGGTAGTTCTTGTGGGAGCTGGAGGCGGCGATGGAGGAGGTGGGGTTGATATCCTATCACTATGTTCGGTTGGTTGTAGTTCGGCTTTAGGGCCCACGAGGGCCAAAAGTAATGGAAAAAACACTAATGAGTTAGCCACAGAACCACAAAAAGAAATAAATATAACTGTAAACAAATGATTGTGAATGAATTCAAACTGAGAAGTGGCTAACACTGAAGCGCATATCAAAAATCCTAAATCACCTTTCACGATTGGTTCTGAGTTAATTTCTAGTGACAGCCTTACTCGTCGTTCTCGATTTCCTAAAGCACATAAAAAGCCCGTCAATTCCAAAAATATATTTCGACTTACTATTATGAAATGTAATGCCCCCATTGTTCCACATATAGCATTTATATTGAGAAGACACAATAGCAGCATGCATGCGATGGTGCTAAATAAGGCGCACCAAAGTTTAGTCCACTGTACAAGAACACAAGCGACAATCGCTACAGCTAAAATTGTCAGTAGGAACTGAAACCCTAAAATACGATCCAGTAATAGGAACTGATTAAAAAAGGCAAATATAAGTCCAATGGGATAATTTTTCAATCCTTCATTGTTAAACTCTTCAGAGATACTTTTTATTTGCCTGAGAGTAGATATAATATTTCCGGTACTTTTTAAATTCTTGAGGTAGAAAGGCATCTGAGCGTAAATAAGTGGTTGTGATTTAGGAATTTTCAAATCAAATTCGGCTTTTGAACTATAGTACTGAAATGGTTTTGGAGTTAAATTTGCTTGAGAACTAGAATAAGACATCTGATCATTGCTATTCCATACAGACAAATAATTGTAAAATGCTTTGGGATCTATAATACCACGATTTACCAGTCTTTTCTTAAAAATTTGACTTTTATCCACTGGAAATTCTACTATTCCAGTCTGAGCTAATAATTTAAAAGCTAATACTGCTTTTTCAGTGGCGTTGGGAAACCACTTTTCACTATTCACACAACTATGATTTCTATTGTGATCAAACTCCTCTTGGAGATCTATAAGAAAGTCCCTAAAGTTTGCTAACCAAAAGTCATTCATATTAAGTCCTCCATTGGAATCTTTAAGCACATAAGGAACATTTGTTAAAGAGGAATGATATTTATATAAAAGATCTTGGTAAAGGGGGTACTCCAGTTCCGTTGTAACTAAATAAAAATTATAAAATCCAAAAAATTTATTTTGGGCTTCTAAATATTTGTATTCTTGCGTATTTCTTGGTAAAAATGTAGATAAACGAACATCAAATTCTAATTTCAGTCCATTAAATACACAAAAAATTATAAGCACTGCATAAGTTAAACAAATTAAAACTTTAACAAAAGGTTTAAATAGACTGGGAGTTAAGTAAAGAGTGACAAACCATGTTATAAGACTCTTCTTTCGTTGGCAAATTAATTCTGTTGTTAATAAATTTGCTCCATGTTCCTGCAATTAAGAAATTATAGTAATTAGTAAACTCATTTAATTAAGACATATTCTATAGACTAACAATTTAACGATAAAAAATTTTATACTTGTATAATCAATATCTTTAAATAGAATACTTGCATACTAAATATATCAACTTTTTTTATTTGTTTTTATGAAATGGGAACATTTTCATTTTAAGATATATATATATATAT